GTAAAATTTCGTTTTCCAAATTCTTTATGAAATTGACAAGAATTTGGTTTAACCTTTTGATATGCATATCTTATTTAACATAGATTATACGCAATATTGATCACTTTACTCGAACTTGTCTCAATCGTGGTACTCCTAAATAAAATCAATCTAAACTTTCAAAAGAGAAACTTCTTAGTTTACCGAGAATTTTATTTTCATTAAATATATAACCATAACTAACATTCGATGCCGTAATATTAATATTATACAATCGTGAAAAAATGGGCCCTTGTAATGCCTATAAAATTAAATATTTATTTCCACAAAATATTTTCTCTCAAATATAAACCCTCCAAAAATCTTCACCATTATCTTGTGAAATATCATTAAATCCATTTGTATCATTAATTTTTGATGTAACAAATGCTTTAGTTAACATATTTGTAAAATAATACGTCGAATCATTCGTTCGACCAAAACTAACTGTTTCAAAAAAAAAAGGATATACATTAATTTCATCGAATTACTCTTCTATGTATAATAATATGTTTTAGCATTACATAACACTAGGGAGCTGCGATTTAACCCAGACCCGGGATCCGACTGGGTCTAATGAGGGAACCTCCCGAGGTATCAAAAAGCTTCTGAGTCGAAATTTTGCCCATAAATAGGGGGTATATAGACCAGTAAAAGATATGTGCCCAAGTTGATGTTTGACTGGGATATCGGCTACTTATTGTATTTGTCCTACAGGGCTCTGTCTGTGCGATAAAATCAAAGTTTCGAATTTAAGTCTGAAGCTTTGTCCACACTAAGTCCTTCATCAGACAAGCTTGCTTGAAAAGTTTCAGAAATTTTCGACAGATTATCTCCGAGATATGAATTGATATATTCATGTTAAACCTAATATCTACAAGAAAACGTCTCTATACTAACATACTTGTATCTCGGATACAGTCTTTCCGAAATTTCTGAAACTTTGTAAGTAAGCTTGCTAGATTGAGGCCTTAGTGTGGATAAAGTTTCAGACCTAGATTTCAAACTTTGATTTTACCATAGAGATAGAGCCCTATAGGACAAATACAATAAATAGTCGATATCTCAGTCAAACACCAACTTGAGCACATATCTTTTTAGGCTTTTTCTAGTCTATGCACCTCCTACCTGTGGGCAAAATTTCGGCTCAAAAGCTTTTTGATACCTCGAGAGGTTCCCTTGTAAATCTAACAAAAAACTTTTTTCCGGTCTGGATCGAGTCCGGCTTCTAAAAAACGTGGATCCGCTGCTCTCTGTAAAACATACTTGCACAAATAATAATAAGATGTAGACTATAGACAATGATTTCTCGTATTGATATACTATTATTCTCTTCAATTTCTTTTTGTTTCCATTGAACTACAAATAATTTTTATTGAAAAAACAACTCGATTTTGTTTTTTGATTTTCTCACAATCTGATTGATTTGTTGCTGAAGTTGAATTTGTATCTGATGTATCAACTGATGTTTTTGATTGAATCTTTTTCATTCTAATTAAATGCGCGAAGATATATCATTTATTTCAAGAATACATTGCATAAACAATTTGACAGAAAGCTTTTTAAATGATTAAATATACGTTTAACGTTTGAAAAGAAAAGACTAGACAATATTCACAATAGATGAAAGTTCTTTTTTTGTTTAGATGAATTAGTTTTTGGTTCTCCATTCGATGATCGTCGTTAATATTCATCATCAATTTGTTCAGGACGTGCGGATGGAGCACTTTGATAACCATATCTTGATGCGCCAGGTGTTTGACGATCGAAATGATTTTCAAGAAGTTCTTCACGAATCATTTTTTCTATACGTTCTTGTTTATGTTCTTCATTTAAATGATTTTCCTAAGACAGAATAAGAAAAAAAAAAGATTTCATTTTTTAAAATCTATTTGATCATACATTAGTCATAGTATTTAAAATTCGTGTTAATGCTTCACGTCGTTTAGCTTTAACCTTTTCCATAGATTCTAATTTTTGTAATACTTCATCAATCTAAATAAAATTGATTTGTGTTTCTGAAAAAAAATTATTTTGATTATTACTCTTGAAACAATATTTCCAACGGAATATTCCATTCGATCCATACGTTGTCTTAAAATTGAAAATTCATCGAATGTTATATGATTTGTAGTGTCTTGTACACTTTTTCTACTCAATCTTTAATATCAAATGAATTTTGGCATATAAAAAAATTCAGATATTTTACTTTCTATCTTGAGTACCATCTTTGAAACCTTTTATATTCTTATTTAAATCATTTTCTTGTGCTGAAAGATCGTTTTTAAACGTATCTTGTTCTCCAATACGAAGTACACCATCACCATCAACATCATAACGTGTAAAAACATTTTCAATTTCAGTATCTGTATAACCACGAGCTTTTAAATCACGACGCCATTCTTCGAACTATATTCAAAATAAAATTATTTCTTCTATAAATATCTATGTTACTTACTTCAATCACTCCATCTTTATTAATATCAGCATTTTTTAATGCTTCTTGTATATCAATAACACGCTATAAGGTAAATCTGATTGAATATTAATAAGAGAAAAAAAGGATTTAACTTACGTCTCGTTTAAAATGTAAACGTTCAAGTACCTTTCCATAAGATTTTTTAAAATATTCACCCAATTCAAATTCTGATTGTTGTGTTGACATATCATTTTTAACTTCAGCATATGTATCGTTAATAATAGCCAAGAACATATTCAATAAGACAAAGAACACAAAGAAGACATATGTTAAAAAGAATATTGGACCAAGAATACGATGAGCATCCAAAATTGCTGAAAAAGAAAACAAAAGAATTTATCAATAAAATTAAAAATTATTCGTACCATCAAAATCAAAATCACCCAAGATAATACGAAATAATGTAAAACTAAAATTAAACAAAAATAAATTTTATGAATGTTTAAAAAACTTACATTGAAGTCGAAAATGTTTTATAATCCGTAACCATTGTACCAAATAATAAATAACCCAATTGTGCATATGCCAAAAATACAATCATGAACATGACACTAAAGCCAAGAACATCTTTAGCACATCGTGATAATGTTGTAGATAATTGTGTCATTGTTTTATTGAATGAAACATATTTGAAGATCTAAACAGGATTGAATTATCTTAGTAAAAGTAATCGAAAGATTGACCACTCATTGATCAGTGGCGGATTTAGGATGTTAGAAGAAAGGGGCGATTTCGGCTAAAAACTATGTTTTGAGTCCAATCGAAGTAGTGTGAACCTGTTCTTTTTTGTTGTAAAAAATCAAAAACATTTTCCGAAGGAGAGGGGCGATCGCTTCCCTAAACCCGCCACTGTCATTGGTAACTTATCTTACTTTAATCCATGCAAGAAAAACAGTAAATGCAATGATATTATTGAATTGTAATTGCCAATAAGTAAGAAATTCAAAATCAGCAAAAGTACTTTGATCATTTAATAATTCATCGAGAATATCTGCAACTTTAACTTGACGATAAACATTAAATCCAATACAAACATATGAGATACAAATGATAAGTACATCAAGTACATTCCAAATTGTTTTAAAATACTGTAATCGAAATCGTGTAATCTAAATTTCGGAAAAAATATATTAGTTTATCTTAATAAATAAATAATTACTTCAAGAACTTCTTCAACTGTATAATAAACGGTGAAAATAATAAATAGAATTTCACAAGCTAATACAAAATAATCCATTGTTGAAACATACTGAAATGAAAAAACAAACATATGAATGATTATTTTTTTTATTTTAGGGAATTCTTACACGAATTAGTTTAACTGTTGAAAATGTTTTCGATGGTATAGCTCCACCTGCTGCTGGAAATTCAACTGTTAATTTAATTTGACAAAATAAATTTATATTCGCATTATAAAGAGTAAAATCAAGAAACACAACACGTGTACCACGATCAAGCCATAGATTAGTTTTAAGATTTGCAATTTCCGATTGAGCAATATCAAAATCTCGTGTTAGATCTAATACAAAACCACCGCCACCATATCGAGAAATTAAACCACTACTTGATAAACCATTAAGTTCCGATGATGTTTTATGTTGCCATCTGAATGACATAAATTTATTTGAAAAATAAATTAAAAAGATGAATCTTACGCTGATGGTGTTGTTAACAATTTTTTATTCTCAGGTCCATACGAATTACGATCTTCTTTACTACTACTATACGGTGCATAACATTCACGAATTGATGATTGAAATTTTCTATGAACAACACAGGAATTATTTCTGACCTAAGAATAGAATTTCTTTTTTATAGAAAAAAAAAATATTTTAAATATAATTACACGAAGTTGTCGAAGTCGTGGTAAACCAAGAATTTTATTTTCAAATAAAACATAACCAGATTGATCAGCTGTTAAATTTTCATTATTATACCATTTTTTATTAAATAAACCTTTAAGAACAGGTTCATTCATAACCTAACAAAATTACATTAATATATACGAAGGAATATTTTGCAATTTTTTTGCTTACAGCCCAAAAATCATCAAAACTTCCAATATCATCATAGGATGGTTGAGCGCCATCACCACTAACTTTTCTTTCAGTTAGAATTGTACGTAAAACCGTTGTAAAATAAAATGTTTTTGATGATACCATTCCAAATGTAACTTGAAAAAGAAAAAACAATAGTGAGATAGAATTCCTATTTTCTACAAATGTTTCTATATACTTACTTATACATAAAATACTAACAAAAGCCAAATAGATAATAAGTTCTCGTATTGTTGTTTTGACATATAAATCCTTGTCTTTTCCAAGATCTTTTTCTGTTTGTCTTGTTGCCCAAAGTGCTAAATTAATATAGAAATTAATACTTAAAATAAGAAATCTAGAACACTTACATCGAATACCATGAAGAATAGATCGACCAAAACCTCTTTGTTGAGCAACCGGATTAGATCCATATGGTTCTGAATGCGAATAGCTCGCTTTTTTACCATTCGATTGAACAACAAAAACATCTGAATTAGCTGAACTCAATCCAATACTAGTTTTGTCTCCTAATGTTTGATCATCAAAAGCCGAATTATTATATGAAATTGGTCTTGGATCTTTTTTGATAGCCATATCAATACTTAGACTGAAGTATTCGAAATAATATTTCTTCTGACTATTTTTTATATTAACGCAAACACACTTTTTTCTATATCCTTAGAGAAATGTTCTTGTTTTATATATTGATAAATTAGTTTTTCCTTTTGCTCTCATTTTCAATTAATCATATATATGCGTATATCCTAATAAGAAAACAAATGGAATTGTTTTTGCCAAAGATTGAAAATGACTCTTTTTTTTTTAATAATACAACATTAGACGTTTCCAACTACTGACGTCAATAGCAGAACCAAGTGGGAGAAATTTAATTTTAACAATTCCTTTGTGTATTTTCACGAAAAATATTTGCTGTAGTACTATAATCGAGGAAAAAAAAGGTGTTGCTTTTTAGTCGTACTATTTTTTGACTCAATTGTTTGCCTTTTACGAAAAAAAAAATAGATACTATGAAGACAAATAATCGATTTAAAAAAAAAGGCTTTTTCTAGTTTTATATTACATGGTTAAAATAAGATATTGGCAGTTTATCATAACACAAAAGTACATTTTATTGGAAGCTGATATCTAATAAGCATGAGAATAAATTCTATGTGATAAACAAATCTGCCTTTGATGAAATTAAATAGTCAGCAGTTTTTTAGTTAATTCATTGGATGAATAATACGGATATCTTGAGTGTTATTTTATTATTCGATAAAGATAAAAAAAATATTTGTCTAAGTTTACTAAAGATAAGATCATTGTTTGAAACAGTTCTGTATAATATAAATCTTGAAGGGATATATGAGCAAAGATTTTTTGTAATCGAAAATTATGATGTGATGTTGAAAAAGTATTATTCATACAATGAACTTCGATTATAAGTATTTTCTACTAACTATGACTAATATGTATAAAAAATCGTGCTGACTTAAATTCTCAATGGAAAATAAATTACTAAGAACATCAATTTATTATGCTAAATGATTTGTATTGAAGAACGGTCGTTGTCAGATAGATTAATAAGGAACAAAATGATTTCTATTAAGAGAAATTAGTTTTTATTTTAATCTTATTATTGATAATTTGAAAAAAATATCCAATCGTGCTTCATTCACTATAATGAAATCCATTTGTACCCCCTGGATAGAATTTGCAAGTCAATATTATTCTTGATCAAAGAATATGAAAGGATAAAGATCATATAAGTTTATCAACAAATAGATAAACTATACATTTTCAAATATATGCACTTTTTTTTATATATTCAAATTTGTCTGACATTCATCATTTGATCAAATATTCAATATGATTCGTATATTTATTTATTAAAATAAGAAAATAAATCCGATTTGATGTATTGACAAATACAACAAAAAACGATTCTTCTTCCATATGTTGAATATTCTCTTTTACTATTTCGTATATTCTAAAATAAAAGTACACCTTTCTTTATTTTTCTTAAGATAACATTAAGTGTCAACATGATTCGATGTGGTTTCACTATCTTTATAGTCAGTTTTTTCATTCATTAATGTATCATAATAAAGCTCGTAGAATATTTTTATCTTATAGGAATTAAGAAGAAGAAAAAAAACGAAAAGCCACAAATCATTCTAAAGAACGAATTGAAATTCAATCTACATGTTCTTATCGAATGTCATTCATTTAAAGGGAAAATTATGTACTTGATTGCTTATGTATATGCATTCTTGTCAACAACAATTTATTCTATCTTTCAACTTTATCTTTCGCCAGTTAATGTAACAAAAAAAAAAAGGTTGTCCCTTTTTTATCGATTGATGACACAAACAGAGAAAAAAAAGAAGAAAGAAAGAAAAGCTTTCATCTTTATACTACGAATCCATTTGCTTTCTTTTTTTTCACTTTTTTTCTTCTCTCGTTCTTATTCTGTGTCTCTTTCGTTTTACGAAAATTATCTATTTGCTTTACATGCTTATTCGATAGACGTCCATCTATTTATGGTTTTGCGGTAA